CAAAATTTCCACTTCGTATTCTTTTCCTCTGCGAGAAATTTTCAGATTTTCTTCCCTATTTTCTACTTCGACTACTTCATTTTCAATATCAAAGTCATTGACAACATCATCATTATCAGGAGGTGGACCTAAGACATCTCCCAAGCTCTCCTCACGAGTTCCCATCATCATGATTTTAGTATTTGGTCTCAGTTTGACAGCTCCAAGCTTAACATCATTTTCTGCAGGTTTGCGCCTTTAACTTTAAGTCCAAGTGATTTCCGTCGGTCTGGTAGCACTCCTGTAAGGGTCTTGAGAAACTGTTTGAAATCCAGCACAGTATCATCTTCTGAAAGTGTGGTCACTGAATATTCCTGTCCACCCCATTTTACTATGATAGGGAGAGCCATCCTTAAAACATATGTTGAGGCAACTTTTGTTCAGAAAAATACAGCTGGAGCGCGGTGGGACCGTCGGCAGCGGACACAGGAACCTCTCTCCAGTTTCTTTAGCTGTTCCTCACAAGACAGTTCCTGAGACCTGCACACTGAATACAGTCTTTCAGATGTGACCTGCCCAGGATGCAGGGTTCTGACACTCTGACTCCCACCACTGATTCCTGTGCTTTTATGAAATCACTCATTTCTTGAAAAGCTGATGAAAGCAATAGACTCCCCCTCGCTCCCACAAGGCAGTCCCAATTAAACTCACCAACTTATATACAGTCTCAGGGGACTGGCACCCCTGCACTCTACAGTCTTTGTATTCTCACAGCCTTATCAGTAGCTCTAACACACTGTTAATGTTAAACTGGCTGACGACCAAAACACCCACTACTTCCGAGAACTTCTAAAAAAGCAGACCTGTTCTCTCTTCTTGCTAAAACACCAGTATGTCCAAAATACTCCTGAAAATTTTCCTCTCACAGGTTAGGCCCTGCTTTTTAGCTCAGAGATGATTCTGAATTCCATCCTAACTCATGTATTGCATAAATCAGCTCCTTTCAGCTCAGTGTCACCTATAAGCTGATAACTATCTGGTCCTGTAGCTTCATCTGTATCTCTAAAATCTTGAATGATCCCCCCCTCCCACCTCAATGGAGTCATCTGTTACATCTGAATTGATAAAAGAGACAACTAGTAGTTCTGAGAATCCCCAAAAGGGCTCTAACATTTAAATTATCGGAGTTCCAGGAAGATAAGATGAAGCATTAATTTGCTGGGCAAGAAAACTAGTTCAGAGTTACAGTATATTGAAAAACAAAACCAAGTTTTTGGCAGCATCCTACATGCTTCAGTTGTCTAAACCATCATGAACCAAATTGTGTATCTCCCCCTGTCCCCTTCCCAAATTCATACATTGAAAGCCCTGATCTACATACAATACAACTGTATTTGGAGGCAGGGCCTTTGGGGAGGTAATTAAGTGAGGTCATAAGATAGGGCCCTAATCCATAGGACCAGTGTCCTTATATAAGAAGACACACCAAACATCTCTCTCTTTGTGCACACAGAGGAGAGGCCACATAAGGACACAGTGAAAAGGTGGCTGGCTACAAGCCAGGAAGAGAGGCCTCACCAATAACCAACATTGATGGCATCTTGATCTTGGATCTCTAGCCTCCAGAACTGTGAGAAAATTAATTTCTGTTATTTAAGCCACCCAATCTATGGTACCTTGTTATGGCAGCCAGAGCTGACTGCTACACATACCTCTATTTAAAAGTACTCACATTATTGGAATTCAATTAAAGAATGATAACACTGAGGACTAAGATTTTTCTCACCTACTGTATGTGATTTACTTATGTTCACCTTGGCCGCCTCAGTGCATTTGACTGGGAAGAATGTGTGTGGAATGTGGGAGTAGAAATAGAATTATGGTCAGAGAGCTGGGAAGGCCTAGACCCTGTACATCATGTGCTAAAATACATTTAATAAAGCTTTATTCCAAAAGATATAAGCAGACATCACATGGAGATCACATGGAGATTATATCATACTAGAGGCCCGGTGCACGAAATTTGTACATTTTGGGGGGGGGGTGTCCCTCAGCCCAGCCTGCACCCTCTCCAATTTGGGACCCCTTGGGGGATGTCTGACTGCCAGTTTAGGCCCAATCTTGGACCTAAACTGGCAGTCGGACATCCCTCTCACAATCCAGGACTGCTGGCTCCTAACAACTCACCTGACTGCCTGCCTGATTGCTCCTAATCGCTTCTGCCTGCCAGCCTGATCGCCCCCTAACTGCTCCCCTGCCGGCCTGACTGACACCTAACTGCTCCCCTACTGGCATGATTGACACCTAACTGCTCCCCTGCTGGCCTGATCGCCCCTAACTGCCCTCCCCTGCCGGCCATCTTGTGACAATGTGGGGGCAGCCATCTTGTGACGCGAGGGCATGAGGGTCAATTTGCATATTACCGCTTTATTATACAGGATGTTAGCCCACAGGTATGAAAGTGAACCTAGTATTTCATAAAGACTTCTTTTTTAATGTTTTTATTTTTGTTAGAGAGATGAAAGGAGAGAGAGAAAAAGCCTACAACCATGTGCCCTGGTGGGAATTGATCCTACGAACTTTCAGTGCACAGGATGACTCTTAACCACACTGGCTAGGGCAAAACTTTCTTTTTTTAATCGCCCAAATCAAAGAAAACTACCTTGGGGTTAAAACTCAGTTAATTAAAAAACAGAGTGACAAGAAAACCTCATTCCCCAAGGATGATGGGTAGTGCTGGTTTTACTTAAGTCAGCTTACAAGCAGGTACATGAAGGTAATCAATACTAACAGAATAAAACAGATTACTTAAATGGAAAATTAAAAGTTGAAAGTTACTTTGTGCCTCAGCACACACAGGTATCCAATACTGAACTTTTATGACCCTCAGTTTCCTAATCTGTGCAATGGAGATACTAATCTCTACTTCACAGAGATGCTTGAAGGATTACATAAAATCAGTTCTGGGTAAATGTTCTTCTGGCTCAATATCTACAATATAGTAGGAGATTATGCTATGTGAGCTTTGTCAGTGTATATGTACGTGTATGTTTAAATTAGCTTTGAAGTAACATGATTTTAAGAATGTATATTTTATGAGTTACTAACAGAGTACTCCTCCAGTCATACGAATAGCCTACACAGACCAAGGAAGGCTAAGGACTCAGAAAAACAAGCTGAAGGGAAAACCAGTAACCAGGGGTCCACAGAGTTCACACACTTCTGTTTTCACATGACTAAAAAGTTTAAAATTACATTCCTTAATAACCTACAAGTATAGTTATGACCATCTATAGCAGCAGTTCTCAACCTGTGGGTCGCGACCTCTTTGGGGGTCGAACGACCCTTTCACAGGGGTCGCCTAAGACCATCGGAAAACATATATAACTACATATTGTTTTTGTGATTAATCACTATGCTTTAATTATGTTCAATTTGTAACAATGAAAATACATCCTGCATATCAGATATTTACATTACAATTCATAACAGTAGCAAAGTTACAGTTATGAAGTAGCAACGAAAATAATTTTTATGGTTGGGGGTCACCACAACATGAGGAACTGTATTAAAGGGTCGCGGCATTAGGAAGGTTGAGAACCACTGACCTACAGTCATATGTTCATAACTAAAACCAGAACATTAGTGGAGTTAGTAGAAGACTCAGACACAGTATTTAGAAGGAAGGCTGCTGGGTAGCATGTAGCAATTCTGCAGAGATAGGCCTGGGAATGCACTCATCCAGTCAACTGGACTTTAGAAACAGAGTATTGTTTTCAAAGCATCATTAGGGCTGCTGTAAAATGGTTGTAGTTTCCTACTGCTGTTTTTAATGTTAAATTTTTGTTATTCTACCTTGGTTATTTGGTTAACCCTATGGTAAACAGGATATTTTTTTAATCAACTATATTTCTAGAAGTAGCTTTTTTGTTGTTGCTAATCCTCACCCGAAGATATTTTTTCCATTGATTTTTAGAGAGAGTGGGAGGGGGAAAGAAAGAGAGAGAGAAACATTGATGTGAGAGAAACACATCGATTGGTTGCCTCCTGCACACCCCACCCTGGGGATGGAGCCCGCAATCTGGGCATGTGCTCTTGACTGGAATCAAACCTGGAACCCTTCGGTCCTCAGGTCGACTCTGTATCCACTGAGCCAAACCGTCTAGGGCAAGACATAACGTTTTAGTTCAAATATAAATCATCTACACTCTTATGACCAAACAGGTATATGCCCAATTTCCCCCAAAACCTGCTTAAGCCAGGACAATAGAACAGAGTTCTTTTGCTACCAAAAAGCAATAGATGGAGTAGATGAGTTAGAATTGTATTTTTTTTTCTATTTAAATAACCAATATATCCACATGGTTTAAAATCAAACATACATAAAATAATACACCCATGCCTAACAGGTAGCCACTTTAGTTTTCTTGGGTATGCTTTCAGTTTATGCATACTACATATTGGCAAACAAACACATTTGACATTAGTCCCCCCTCCCTGCCTTAATACAAAAAGTATTATATACACAGTTCTGCATTTTCTTTTTTACCATTAATACACGTTGGCGATTTTTCTATATCAGTATATAGAGATTTTCTTCATTCTTTTTTCTTAAAATAATAAGCTACATAATTTTCCATTATATAAATATTCTTTAAACTAGGCAGTCTCTTGTTAATGAACATTTATATTATTTCTAGTCTTTTGTTATTACAATGTTGCAATGAATAATCTTGTATATACAGGTGTGCGCGCGCACACGCATGCGCACAACCTATAGAATAAAGGCCCAGAGAGACTTAGTGCATCAAAAATTTTTGTGACTCTGACAAACAATGATTCTTAACTTTTTTGAGGTTCTGATCCATTCAAAAATCTGATGAATACTACAGGCTTGGCCCTCCAATGATGAACAAACATCCTCACATGGATTAAGCTCTAGGGATACTGAAAAAGCTACATGATTTAGAAAGGTGTCTCAGAGCTACAATCTTAAATTTCTGATAGTTTAGGGATGTTACCTTGGTTGATTTCAGCTGCAGAAGGCCCTAAGCTCAAGCTCTTCTTCTGCTGAGCATTTTTGGCAAGAAGTGTGTGCTTGTCATCATTCCCTGTATCCATCTCTGAAATGGTGACAGCCAGAATCCGGCAGAAATTAGCAAGCTGCTGTTGATCGAAATTGGATACCAAGGAACTCAGATTGGGGACTTCATCTAGCCGGATCATTTCCTACAGAAGACACAAATAAAACAATCCCTGTGCTCAGTGCATTAGAAATTAGATGTGCTCCTCTTTTGCATTCCCCTAAGAATGTGGCCACTTAGATTCAAATCCCAGCTCTGCAATTTACAGCCGAAGTAAGTCATAGAACCTCTCTAAGTCTGTTTGCTCATTTGTCAAATGGGACTAACCTACTTTCTAGGACTAGTCTGAGGATTAAACCCTTTGAGCACCACTGTTCTTATTTTCTACCTTTGCTCATTTTACCTATTTAAACAAACAAACAAAATACCTATCACTCAAGTTTTATGAATCAAATTGCCATTCTTGCCACAGATGGTTTCTTTTGAAGAAGTAACATATTGCAAATATAGCTGAAGGACCGTGTTTCTCCACCTACTTGCATTCCCTTCTCTCTCCCCAGAGGTAATCGTTATTTTGAACTTTGTATTTGTTATTCCCATGTTTTTATACTTATATTTCCATAAAAACATATGGTACTATTCTGCCCGTAGTGTGAATGGCATCATATACCACCTTATTTATCAGTGAACACTGAGATTTAACTACAGATACAAGTAGCTCTAGTTCACTTGTTTTTCATTGTTTTACTCCACAACTTATTTTATATATATATACATGAACTACAAGTTTTCACTATTAGACAATGTTGCAATGAACATTCCTATAGGTGTCTCCTTCTGTATATGCACAAGTAACCAATTATCTAGAGAAAGTGATAGGCATTCTTGCCTGTTTCTTGACTTTAATAAAATTATTTCCAAAGTTTAACATTAAGTTTAATGTTTGCTGTAACTTTTAATAGATATTAAGGAATTTTCCTTCTATTCCTAGATAAAATGAGTATTAAATTTTATAAAATGCTTTTCATTATGTGATTATAGTACTCTCTGTGACAGAGAAATACCCAGAAGTTAAGTAAATTACTGGGAGGAAAAGTAGCAGGTATTATCTGAGGAATATAAAAATGTTTCAAAAGGAGAAAAGTTCATGTAATACACGATTTAAAGAAAAAATATTTAGTTAAAAAATCTATGTATAATGGATCCATGAAGTTCAAGCCTGTGTTGCTCAAGGGTCAAATGTATTTTAATTTTTATTTATTTGATGCATACAACATATAGTATAAAGCATATCAAAGTGAATAGCCGCACATGCCTTTACTATCACATCTCCATGCCTCTCTGCCAGAGGCAACGACCACTATCCTGAATTTTATTACTACTTTGCCTTTAAAAACAGTTTTATCATATGATTTATGTTTAGTTATTTCTGAGCTTTATAAAAATGATATACTATATCCAATCTTCTGCAACTGACTTCTAGCAATAATTTCTATGATTCAGTTATGCTGTTGCCTTTAGCAACAGTTCCTTCTTTCCCACCACTTTCTAACACAGGCATACTTCGTTTTTTTGTGCTTTGCTTTATTGTACTTCACAGATGTTGCAGTTTTAACAAGTAGAAGGAAAAATTTCCACCAGCAAAAAGACTACGACTCACTTTGTGAAACTCTCGCTTTATTGCAGTGGTCTGGAACTGAACCCGCAGTACCTCAGAGTTATGCCTGTGTTCTATTGTGTGAATGGAGTACATTTATTTACCCCTTCTCCTGAAGACAGATTACAGACTTGGTTTCAGTTTTTTGTTCTGTGTTTCTTGATGCACATGTGCAGTTTTTCTGGGGCAGTGGCTTACAAACCATTCTTACAATGCCCAAGAATTAGAAATATCCATAATTACCCAGTAAACATACATATGTGAATGCACAGATACATGTATAAATAAGAAACAAAAACTTCTTCAAACAATACCCTTACATGATACACTTTGATCTTTTCTATTTAGCTGGCAGACCCACTGAATTGACTGCACAACCTCTTGGCTTCAGTTCAGTGTTTTCATTTCTAAGAATCACTGTTCTTGGAATGAGCTTTCCCACGAGCATGCCTGAGACTCAAGCTGCGGTACTGATTTCCTGGCCCTCAGGGCAGTGCATACCTCGGTGCTGGGTCACAGGGTATATGCATGTTAAAGTAGAAAACAGAAGAAAGGTAAAGATATTCTGCTGATATAAAACAGTATCATCACTAGAAAAATGTTGTCAACGATATACATTCTCACCAAATTTGCTCTATTTTCTCTAACTGTGGGCTTGATTTGCATTTCCCTAAGTATCAAGAGGTTAAGTATCCTTTCTTATATTTATGAACCATTTGTTTCTCCTCTGTGAAATGTGTGTTCATATCATTGTCCATTTTTCTACTGAACTATTTCATTTTCTTGCCAATCTGTAAGAATTCTTGATAAATTTTGACTACCAATCCTTTGTCAGTTGCATGGGTTGCAAATACCTTCTCCCAGTTTGTGGCTTGGGTTCCTTCTTATGGTGTCTGCCTCCCTTGCAAAATGTTCCAAGATACCCATAATATCTAACAGAACTCATCAACATTTTGGCAACACGGGAAAAGCAATTCTAGACTCCTATGCTGATACTGCCAGGAAGACTGGAAGCCCCTTCTCTCACACTGGCTGGAGCACAGCTAGTAGAGAAACAACAAAGCCTTTTTATCAAAGGACACAAAGGGTCTGTCTGGGACCTGCACACATTTCCAATGTGTTCCTACAGACAATGGGCCACTTATGCATCTTCCTCCTGGGAGATAACAAACAGGACCTGAGGAAAGTACAGCGAAAAGACAGAAGTGAAAGCTGGGGACAACACAATGCACGGGGTGCCCTTTTCCCAGCAATGCCAACGCTAAGAGGCTGCTCCTGCTTCCCGAGTAGTAAAAGAATTCTGCCAAATTGCAACCAGCATGGATGTATGGGACAAACACTGGGGAAGGAAGGAAGGTTCAGGTCCGAAGAAGCGTAACACCAAAAATCTAATAAGGGGTTCTCTGACAGATGTCTATGGGTATGTTTTTAGGGTCTGGGAGATTGCAGTGGTAAGTTTTTAATTTAGTGCTTTCATTTCAATCATAGTTAGTTTTTTTTAAGCATATTCTGGATCATTTGAATGTACATCTTATGACCAAGTGGCCACACTTCAGTGATCATTACCTGTGTCTCCTGTGTTGATGTCAATTAACATTAACTGTTGACAACTAATGGGGGAAAAACACAGGTAAACTTAAGTAAAAGTGAAAGTCAAAAATCACCAAGGGAAACATATCCTAATAAATGAAGGTTTCAGAGCAGTTCAAATAAAGTGGTAAGAGAATGAAGTCACACAGCATGTAGCAGTAGGTATGCTAAAAAGATCTGCATTATAATAATTAGTGAGTGCGGGGCAATTAGATTTTGGCAAAGTGACATTAGCCATCACATTAAATTCATTATGTCAATCTGAGCTTTTGAGTTTTATAATTACTTTGATTTCAATTTGTTTATTTGTTTAGGTTTTATAGTCATATAAGACCCATTAGTATAAAAAGTAAACCTAACTTTTACTTGAATACAGATGTATTTAAGTAACACAAAAAAATTATTTAACACTAGGAGTACGGAAGAATTTTTCTTTTAAAAGGGTTCTGTACATTAATTAAGGTTCCAGAATCCAATCAGCTGAGACTCTCTCCCACCTGGTTACCCACCTGTCGGAGGACATACCTTTTTAACACCCAAAATATCTTCAATGAGGGTTGCTGTTTGTAAGAATGTCTTCTTACTCGTCATCAGTGTAAACAGGAAGATCACAAAGTCATTCTTTTCTGCCAAACGCTTTGTAACTCCTTCCGTCTATCATAGGGGGGAGAGAAAAGGCAGAATAAGTTATAAATATGAAAAAATATATATAAAGAGCAAGATATCCCTTCCAGACACTGGAAACACAATCCCACATTACATCTGATACTCTTGGCTTAGGTCTTAAATCCCTAAAACAATATACAAAACACTGTGTGCAAATGAATTTTTTTTCTGGGAAGGGGTGTTTTCATGATAATCTTATAGGTTTGTGACCTAGCATCTGCTTGGTATCTAAATCAGGAGCTATAACTAGCATACAGTAGTCCAAGTTTTATTTAACCAGCAGTACTTTTAAAATTTTGAATGTAAATATTTTTCAGGCAAAGACGTGCCTACTCCAGGATCGTCACAATTTGCACAAGTCCCCACTCTAAAAACCAGCAACTTCAAACATTTCTTGTTTTCTGCCCAGTCCCTGAAGTACTGGTATTTTCAACTCTAAAAGCCAATCAATGATGGAGTTAATAACATCATACAGTCATTTTTTAAATAAGGACAATTTCTTAGTGGCCTCAGCTCCAAGAATAATCGTATGTTTCCTGAAAATTAGTTTATTTTTACTTATTGCTCTGTCTGTGCCTATTTGTGCCACTAGCTTCATGTGGCTATTAAGCACTTGAAATGTGGCTAGTCTGAACTGAGGTGTGCTGAGTAAAAAACACCAGATTTTAAAAGGGCAGTACAAAAAAAAATCTTGATATTTAATTTTAAGCGTATTAAAATGAACTTCACTTATCCCTATTTTTTTCTTATTAAAAAAAATTGCTACAAGGAAATTTAAAGTAACCTAAGTGGCTTACATTGTATTTCTAGTGCACAGCACTATTACAGATGCTGAGCTGTGTAAATGTTAAAACATATCTCCCTATTTGTGTTGGCTGCTAAGAAGTTTAAACCCAAATTTGTGTACCATCCATAATACAGATGATTTTATGCTCTACATTTTTATATTAGCCCATTTCTTAGATGTATGTTATACCCTTAACTTAGTTATCCTTTCATTCTTCTAAATTCATACTTCTAGCCGAAACCGGTTTGGCTCAGTGGATAGAGCGTCGGCCTGCGGACTGAAAGGTCCCAGGTTCGATTCCGGTCAAGGGCATGTACTTGGGTTGCAGGCACATCCCCAGTGGGAGATGTGCAGGAGGCAGCTTACCGCTGTCTCTCTCTCATCGATGTTTCTGACTAGCTCTCTCCCTTCCTCTCTGTAAAAAGACAATAAAATATATTTAAAAAAAAAATAAAATAAATTCATACTTCTAAATTTATGATTTTGCCGTAAACCGGTTTGGCTCAGTGGATAGAGCGTTGGCCTGCGGACTGAAAGGTCCCAGGTTCGTTTCTGGTCAAGGGCATATACCTTGGTTGTGGGCACATCCCCAGTGAGGGGTGTGCAGGAGGCAGCTGATCGATGTTTCTCTCTCATCGATGTTTCTGACTCTCTATCTCTCTCCCGTCCTCTCTGTAAAAATCAATAAAATATATTTTAAAAAAGAATTAAATTTATGATTTTGATAGATTTTACATACTCCTGTAAGATGCCTGAAGTCTTTTTTGAATGAGGCAAGAAATAACATTAAATTTTCCTTTGCATTTTTCTAGCATGCAGGTTCACATCTCCAACAGCAGTTGTTTCATCCTGCTATGTATTATGATTCACTGTTTAAAGTTTACCAAGTAAGTTCCTAAAGACAGGTACTGTGTCTTATAAAAACTACATTTGTATACTGCTTTACAAAGTACTTTCACATCTATCATCTCATTTAGTCTTCACAACAACCCTATGATGTTAGTATGATTACTAACTGCACTCTACCGATAAGAAACTGAAGCTCAGGAGGTGAACTAATAAGCACTAAGCCAAAGGCCAGAACTCAAAATCAAGTTCTAGTACTAAGTGCTATGCTCTTTCCTTTCTACTGAACTGCTTTCTCTATTCACCATCCCTTTTCACTCACTGCTCGATGTAGTAGTGTCCTGCTAAATCGTGGGTGAGGCTTCTGGTTCTTACTTTGTCTTCTAACAAGGAAAATGAATGGGCATAAGGTTAAAATGTATCCTAGCGGTCACAGACACTCTTCCAATGCTTGTCCTCCTTGACAACTGTTCAGTCTCTGCTTGGATACCTCTAGGGTTAAAGGAGTTCAGTACCTGCTGAAGTAACCATGGCTCTTAACAATTACAGTTGACCATTAAACAACACAGGAGTTATGTAGAGTCAAAAACCTGTAATTACAGTCAGCCTTCTACATCCACAAATTCCCAACAGCAGGTTGAAAATATAGTTAAGTCTTGAACAACACGGGTTTGAACTGCATGGGTCATATGAAAGTGAATCTGTGCAGCCCATGTTAAGGTCAACAATACTATGAAACTCTGCCTCCCCATAATTTCCACCTGTTGATTCTGGTTCTCAGACACACATAAAATAAGGCCAATTCCTTCAATGTCTGAAGATAGCTCTCAGGCCCACCATCTCCCTTGAATCGTCCTTTCTCAAGGACTGCAGACGTGGTGGGGAGATAAATGCAGCACCAAAGGCAGGGTACTTACACACACACAGGTATTATACAGGATGCTCAAACAGTCCTTGGACATTTCATCACTTACTGAAAGCAAAAGGGAAATAATTGGCTATTTTTCTCATTGAAAAGACAGTATAACTGTATTAAATTTTTTGAAAATAAAAACAATTTCTCATAATCTCCTCCAAGATGATTATTTTCCTATAAGCATATCTCCCATCAATTTTTATTTACCAAAGATTTTCATGGTGCCCATCATAACCCACAAATCAATTTGTAGACTGCTTTTGGTTTGATACAGTAGCCATTTTCATTATGCTCCACAGTCTTCATAATTTCAGTCTATGTTGATATCATTATTTAAAATAAGCCATATTTACTTTGTAGCTTGCTTAGAATATATCCAAGCTTTTAGTTGTAGTTTGTTTTTGTGGCTATTTAAATAGACAAAAAATAAACAATTTAAAACCTTTTGATGCTTGTGTTGAATTGGGTTCTCAAGAAACATTTCCAAAACCTGAACTACTAGAATCCAAAGTATAAGAATATCAATGCCTCTTATTATAAATTTGGTTATTTATATTAGGGAAATGGCTTTTAATGCCTGGCTTATCAAGCCTAATAAAGAACTAGCTACTTACTTCTCTGTCAGTAGGAACAGAAAGCAGCATAAAAAGGAAAACTAAAACTAGGAGGTGATAAAACTGAATATGAACCATGGACAAAGTGTTTTGTTTGGCATAGTTTTCTTTTCAAAAACTATTTCCACTTAATCTTATGCTGCTACAATACCTCTAAAAATGTGGGTCTCCTTCTGAGATCCCAATGGGCAGTCCTACCAAGGTAGCTGGACCAGATGGGTTATCTGATATAATCCTGAGATAATGCAAGTGTCCTGTATTCCTTATCTCTACCTTTCAACCTACTGAGGCTTTTTGGTTTTTTTATTTTATGACTTTAAAGCAGGTTGGAATACCCAGACCAGTATATAGAGAACAGAAGAACCAATTTAGATAGAAAATCTGAATATGGATATTCAAAGATGAATATGAATCCTCTTAACCATCACTATACCTACAAAATGAAGTCTTATATAGTATGTCATGTTGATATTAGGGAGGAAACACTTTTTAATTAAAAAAATAAAGTGATGTTTGTAGAAGAGCATTCACCAAATATTAAGTGATCTCTGGCTTTTAATGCCAAGCAAAGTACACTTATTCTTTTTATAAATTAAATATTGAATACCCCCCAAATATTTGTAATATGCATAAATTATGAGGAAGAATAAGACTAATACCCATATACCCACTACCGAACTTAAGAAATAATGCACCACCAAAAACATTTTTACTTTTTACTATATGCACTCCAGTAATGACTGAACTTTTTACACAAAGCATATATCACCTTTATAACAATAAAAAATAGTTTAAGACATAACACACACAGTGATCTTACTAGGTTAGGTTATTGCTTACTTTCTCACTTAACAGTATATGAGAAGTAAGAATTACCAAATAGAACATAAAAACTGGACCCAAGGATTATTAGATATAATTCTTTTAGCCCAGTGGTTTTCACACTTTTTCTTTTAAAGCACCAGCCTGTATTTCTACCTAATATAAAATGAATAAATACAGCTGCTTAGTTAGGATTGGAGAGCGTACCCTGCAGTTGAATCTAAGGCATGTCCTCACCATTAGAGTTAGAAAGAGAAGAAGAGAAACTCCTGGAAACCACCATCATATCAGCAGGTTGGAAAAAGGGGAAGTGGTTGACAAACATACTTACTTTTCAGTTTCTGTCCCCGAAGAGAGACTGTAGGCCTCATAAGAATTTCTACAAGGAGCTATAAAAAATATATTTTTAGATAAAATTTTCAAAATTAATTCAAAGCACAACTTATAAAACAATCTTTGCTATGCTAACTCATGGCCCAAATATCTATAACAGTATTCCAAGAGCCTCTTATTCCCAATATAGGCAGATGGCAGTGAGGTTCAGGGAAATGAGCTCTATACCAAGAGTCTGAAATGAAAGCTTGGGTTTTAGTCCCAGCTTAACCACCTATTCCCCATGTAAACTTGGGCAGGTCAATGCCCCAACATAGCCTCTGTTTTCTCATTTAAAAAAAATAGGCATATTAGATTAGGTAATCTATGAGATCCAATGTGGCTTTAATTTTTAAAAAGCTACAGAATATCACCACGATTCTTCTTTTGCTTAAAGAATTATTTGTTTTCTCTTATAAACATAAAAATAATCTCAAGGATATACCATAAACTGTTACTACTTATTTCTACAGGGGATAAGAATGATATGCATTCATTTTTCATTTTATATACTTTAAATAAATACAACATATAATTTTGTTTAAACTATTTACAATAGGTATGCATTAAAAAACCCATTCTATTGAGACAAAGAAGGAAATTTACAACTATAAAAGGGTCAATCCAGCAGGAGGATATAACAATTATAAACAAAGATGCACTTAATAACAGAGCCTCAAAATAAATGAAGCAAAAGCTGACAGAATTGAAGGAAACAGACAATTCAAAAATAATTGTTGAACACTTCAATACCCCACTTTCAATAACAGACAACTGGGCAACAGCGAAGAAACAGAAGACTTAAACACAATAAACCAATAACAGGGGGTTTGGCAAGAAAAAAGCACCCTACTAAAGGTCAGTGAATGGGCAAATGACCCAGGCAAAAGCCCATATTTATAAACAAACTGAGATTCCTGGAGAATGCAGAAGAGGCAAACCCCATAAAATCAAGAATCATTGATCCAAAGATGTCCTAAGGTGACACTGACACCTGCTATAGAAAGACACATTTTCACTAAAAATAGACATGAGGCTAGAGATCCACATTGTTCTTTTCCTCTCATAAACACATTGGTGTCTATTAAGTAAATTCCTTGATGAATAATACAGAAGTGAAGGGGGGGTCCCTTGAACTGACTAGTAAATAAACAGTATAAACAGGACTCCTGAGGAGTCCCATTAAAGAATAAAGTTTGTGGCAAATGATGTATATACAAATGTTTAACGTTCAAGCTTTACTTTTGTAGAAAATAGCATCTCTAAGGGAAGAAAACTTTTTTGGGGGAAGGAGGTGGAAGGAGACATATGTAAGACTTTCAACAATAAAGAATTTAAATTAAAAAGATAAATGAAATAAAATCAAAATTATATAAGAAAACTTTAAAAAATCTGAAGTATGATACAGCAAAGAGTAGAAATATTAAGGATACAGCCCCAGTTTTTACCAAGTATCATTCCTATACAATCAACACCCAGACCAAGACACAGAATAACCACATGAAAGCCTCCCTCATGCTCCATCCAAGTGATGGATGTAAGGGACAGATATCTAGAGGGGAAAGCAGGATCCCAGTCCCTCACTCATTACAGCAAAATAAATTCAGAATGGTGCAAAAATTTAAACATGTGATAAAAACTTTAAAATATTAGAAGGAAACAGAAAAGCAAGAAACAAAATTCTGAAGCCATAACTAAAAAGTAAACCTTTCTACTTTTCTTTTGTTGTTAATCCTCACCTGAGGGTACTTTTTCCACTGATTTTTATTTTTATTTACTTATTTTCTTTGTTAATCCTCACCCAAGGGTATTTTTCCACTGATTTTTAGGGAGAGTGACAGAGAGAGGGAAAGACAGAGAGAAACATCGATATGAGAAAAAGACATAGATTGGTTGCCTCCTTCACAAGCCCTGACCAGGGCACGGGTTGGGGAGGAGCCTGCAACCAAGGTATGTATGTGCCCTTGACCTAGAATCAAACCTCGGACCCTTTGGTCCACAGGCCAATGCTCTATCTACTCAGCCAAACTGGCTAGGGCTCCACTGATTTTTAGAGAGTGGAAGGGGTGACGAGGGGAGGGAGAGAGAGAAACATCAATGTGAGAGACACACTGAGTGGTTACCTCCCACATGTGCCCTGACTAGGGGCCAGGGATGAACCTGCAACCCAGGTATGTGCCCTTGACCAGGAATTGAACCTGAGACCTTTCGGTGCATAGGCCAACACTCTAACCACCGAGCAACGCCTGACAGGGCAAACTTTCTCCATTTTAAAGTACCACAAACAAAGTCAACATTTAATTCTCTAACTAGGAAAAAGAATACAACACATAAGATAATGGACTTTAAGAAATTAGGAGTAGCTACAAATTGATACAATCTGAATGTGTGTGAACACCCAAAATTCATGTTAAATCCAATATGTGATGGCATTAGGAGGTAGGGCCTCTGGGGATGATTAGGTCATGAGGCCAGAGACTTCATGAATGAGATTATACCCTTATAAAAGAGGCTTCAGAGAGATCCCTAGCCCCTTCCCATATGAGGAAATAGAAAAAAGCTGGGAATCTGTAACCTGAAAGAGGGCCTTCACCAGATACCAAATCTGCCCTTGCCATGATCTTGTACTGTCCTGCCTCCGGAAGTGTGAAAATTAATTTTGTTGTTTATAACCTACACAGTTTGTAACATTACAGTAACCTGAAAGAACTGAGATAGAAAAACAGTAAGAGAAAAGCCTAATAACCAGATAGAAAGGATGCAAAAGCCACTAACAGACAACTGGCAGAAAAGAAATAGAAAGATATTCAAGAAGAATGCAAATTTTAAAAACTATCAAGAAAATAAGAGCTTTTAAAACTCATAATAAAAAGACAACCCAATTAAAAAAATGAGACAAGGAGACATACATTTTTCTAAGGAAGATATACAAATGATAGATAAACACATAAAAAGATGTTGAACACCATTAGCCAATACAAGTCAAAATCACAATGAGATACCACTTCACACCCACTAGGATGGCTATATTCAAAAACACATATAACACGTTTTGATGAGGATGTGGAAAAAATGGAACCCTCATACGCTGCTGGTGGGCATGGTGCAGTTGCTTTGGGAAACAATCTGACAGTTCTTCAAAGGATTAAACATAAGAGTTACAACATGACCCAGTAATCCCACTAGTAGGCATATACCCCAAATTATTGAAACTCCAAGCCTGCACAGCAACTTGTACACAAATGACAAACATAAACTTATTTTGGGATTATTATTTGTGTGCTTTTCTTTATGCTAGTTACACTTCAATAACAAAGTCCATAAAAAAAGCACATATACATACTATTTTGGTGATGAAGTAAGCAGACACTCATACTTTGTTACTGGGGATTTAAGTTGAAAAAACCTCTTACGTATGTAAACTGACAAGTTTATAAACAATAAAAGACACAGATGCTTTGATCCCAAAGGTATATATTCACATGTACACAGAGTAGGTACAAAAACCTTTCTTCAATCTTGTTTGTAATAGCAAAGGTATGAGAAAACTATAAATGCCCATCAACTGAGGCCTGGGTAAATAAATTATGGTACAATTATATCAGGGAATACTACAGAAAGTTGTAAAATAATGAGGCAGATTTACATGTACTCAAATGAAACTATCCCCTAACTAAAGAATTACATGGAAAAAGCAAGATACAAAGCAATACACCTGTATATATCACATGTCACCTCTATATTTGGAGAAAATAAACCTAAGGTGGGGAAGTGGGGTTATTTACACACACACACAAAACATCTCTGGAAGGACATAGAAGAAACTGGTAATCAGAGCTGCCTCTGAAGAAAGAATACTGGGAAAGTGAAAAAGTACAACACATACCTCTTTAACTTTGTGCTTTCCAAAACACACACACACACACATACACACACACACACACACACACAAAGGTGGCTACATTATCAATTCAAATAAATAAATTCTTCTAAAGTAAAAGCTATGCTGCTTCAAAACAGGTGAGTGCTAATGAGCTTTTAAAGATTAAAATTCTCAAATGTTTGCTATATATTCTGAAATGTTTCCTGACTCCCATTTTAAGAGTTAACTTTTCGAACCATTAAGCAGTAGTAATAGTAGTAGAAATAATAAACAACTACTTACATCAACACCTCCAAACAAGTCAAAAATATATGTATTTGGATAAGTGGTTTCTTGGGTAAGTTTCCTCTCTTCAGTAACAAATGCCATAGCCTCCATGGAGAGAAGAGGAGAAATTTCCTAGTTTAAAAACAGTATGCAGAGAGACATTCAGTTTTTGCATCTAACACAACCAGACACCAAAGCATCAGTCTGCATTTTAATCCCAACTTAAATCCCCATGAGATAACCCCAATAAACCACACTTCCTCATATTCAGACTCCCTATAGCAGTGATGGCAAACCTTTTGAGCTCGGCGTGTCAGCATTTTGAAAAACCCTAACTTAACTCTGGTGCGGTGTCACATATAGAAATTTTTTGATATCTGCAACCATAGTAAAACAAAGATTTATATTTTTGATATTTATTTTATATATTTAAATGCCATTTAACAAAGAAAAATCAACCAAAAAAAAGGGTTCGCGTGTCACCTCTGACACGCGTGTCATAGGTTCGCCATCACTGCCCTATAGAATCCTCTCCCACACTGAATCTGGGCTGGTGTGACTCACTTCAACAAATAGAATGTGGCAGAAGTGACACTATGCAATCCTGGCCTAATTCTTAAGAAAGACTGGCAAAGCTGGCTTTTGCTATCTTGCAACCCAACCACCATGTTGTGAGAAGTCTAACATAGATACCTAGAGAGGCCATGAGGAGAACTGAGGCTAAGGACTGATAGCCTTAGCTGATCTTCAGCTGATAGCACCAACCTTGGACCTTCCAGATAATTCAATACCTAGCCAACACAAGGAGCAAAAGAACCACTCAATCAAACCATTATGCAATAGTAATAGTAGTAGAAATGATAAACAACTACTTACATCAACACCTCCAAACAAGTAAAAAATATATGTATTTGGATAAGTGGTTTCTTGGGTAAGTTTCCTTACCCCCCAAAAAATTGTTATAGATATACAGTGATTATTATCTCAAGTTTTGGGGTGGCTGGTTCTGCAGCAATAGGTATCCAAAACATTGCTCAAGTGTCTCCTCTTCCAGGAAGTCTTCTCTGATTCCCTTCAGCAGAAGCATTCTGATGCACCTCTGAACCCCCAAAGAAATCTGTAATTCATTGTAGCCTTTAGCATTTTACTTTGTACCTCTTTACAAACGTATGTTACTTCTTCCCTAGACTAAATATTCCTTGAAGATAAGACAAACAGATTCCTCTTTGTATTCTCCCTAGGTCTCATGACATTGCAGGTATTCAATACAGTCAATACAGTGTAGAGGTTCTCAAATTTGGAGGGGCCAAAGAATCCTTTGTTCATATGGAACATAGCTAATAGAAAAAAATGATAACTTACAGAAAAGTTGATATAATAAAAGTTGTAATAATAGTAGTAATAGCTAATGTATTTAATGCTTAGGTCTAAGTACTTCATGTATTACCTCTTTTAATCCTCACAACCCTGTAAAGGATAATAGTAACGTATCCCAAAATTTTACAGATAAGGAAGCTGAGGCGTGAAGAAGTTGTCAATGTCACACAGTGGTAGAGACAGGATTTAAGTGTAGGAAATCTAGCTCCAGAGTCTGTGCTTGTAAAGCAGAACTATTTTGGGTGAAATAGGGGAGAGAGTAGGAAGAATCCAGGACTCTACTCATTATGTTCTCCCTTCAGGAACCTGTGAGGGAAAATGGACACAATAGGCAAGAGCAATCATTGTATGCTCAAACACTGGTGAGCATCAGAATCATCAGAAGGGCTTCTTAAAATTCAGACTACTGGGTCCACCTGCAGAGTTGTAATGGGTCTGAGAGGGGCCTGAGAATGTGCATTTATAACAAGTTCCCAAGTGATGCTGATGCTACTGGTCCAAGCACCACACATCAAGAAAAAGCAGAACTTACTTTTACAGATCACCTGCTATATGCCAGGCACTGGGCTTTTACACTTTAGTTCATTTAATCCTTAAAATAATTCAATGAAATAAGTATAGTTTTACTCATTTTAGAGGCAAAAAACTCAAATCACAAAGTTGCCTAGGGTCACATAATTAGTAAGTGACTGAAGCACTTTTTCTGGATCTTATTTTTCTCATCCATAAAACCAGGAAGTACTTCCTGCTGGCAACCTGGTACAGTGGAAGCTGGTCTTTGTATAAGACAAATCTGGGCTCATCATATAGTAGCCACAAAGTTTTGGGTAGGTTACTATTGAGTCTCGGTTTTTTCAACTGAAAAAGAGAATATAAACAACAGCTGGATTTTGTCTGCCCAGCAGCTTTCTCTCTTCAGGTAACAACTGCATTTCCTTAGAGGAAATGCCCCTCCCCACTTTCTACATAGTTCTGCTAAGGTTGTCAACAAGCAACTCAGTCCCAGCCCCTAGCCAATAGTCTCTCATTCCCCTCACCTGAGTGGCTAACCCATGTTATAGAAATGTCACCCAAGACCTATGATTACATGGAGGAACCTGAGGTCACACACAGACGTCAAGATAATAAATGGACAGCCTCCATGGACACAAACAATGGGGCAGTGAGGCCCTGAGGCGGGGGTTGGGGGTGAGCTGGAGGGGATCAGTGGGGGGAAAAGGGGACATATGTAATACTTTCAAAAATAAAGAATTATAAAAAAAGAAATGGACAGCCTAACTGTTCAGTTCCTGAATTCACATCTGTGCCTTGTCAATTATGTAATACAATAAAGGATTTTTTTTTCTTTTTTGCTAGTCTGAGTTACTGTCACCTACAATCAAAATATTCTAGACCAATGGTTCTCAACCTTCTGGCCCTTTAAATACAGTTCCTCATGTTGTGACCCAACCATAAAATTATTTTCGTTGCTACTTCATAACTGTAATGTTGCTATTGTTATGAATCGTAATGTAAATATCTGATATGCAGGATGGTCTTAGGCGACCCCTGTGAAAGGGTCGTTTGACGCCAAAGGGGTTGCGACCCACAGGTTGAGAACCGCTGTTCTAGACTACTATAAAGAAAAAGCCACCCATCTCACAGAGTTACCCTAAGAATTAAATATGCCTGGTAAACAGTAAATTTCAAATAAGTATTTGCTGGATGAATAAAGAAATGATGATCACACAGCAAGCACTCACTATTAATTTCCCTCATTCTACTTCTTTTTCCTCCTCCTTCATATTTCAAATTTTGCAGGAATCAAATGCAATAATATATAACTCTTTACAAAGTGTTTTTAAACAAGTGTAAAAGACTGTAATTATTTTTACCCTAGTCAGACTATGAGAAGATAAAAAATACAAAACATTTCTTTTATTCCCTCTCAAATCAATACACGACTTTTATTGCATCTTTAAAATGTCTTACATAAGTGTAAGGAACCATCCAGCATTTTGTTTCTATAGCTGAAAAACGTAGATCTTATTCATCAGTCTGGTGAGCTGTTCCTTTTTCAGAAACACAGATACCATCCAAATTTTTCCTGATATCCTTGTTTTTTAACTGTTTTGGCTTGCTGAATCAAAGCAGCTGAATTTGATAAAAATTCAAGGCCGTTTCCTTCAAGAATTAACTCATCTTTCTGGGCTTGAGATACTGAACAAGCAACACCTGACCTCATCTGAATCCTGTGGATGTATTTCTTGCCCAAGAAATTTCTAATTTCAACAAGAGAACCATTCTCCTGAATAACGACATTGATGGGGAAGTGAGCGCACACACAGCCTTCACCGTGTAATGGAAGCACAGTGTAACACCCGTAATCATGTCCTGTACATAACTACAGATGGTACAAATGGTAACCAGTTCCTTTCAATTTCCCCACCACTTTTCAACCTGTAGCCTCTCCTTTTTCTTTCCAAGGAGATTTGAGTTCTACATCAATGTGATTGAAGTCCCTTAGCAGGGTGCCCCTGGGGTCTTTCACAATAACTGTGTGTCCCTTCAGAGCAATGTCCACATTTTCTGAAATGTCGACTCTGATTGCTCAGAATGGTCTTCATTCTCACAGTGGATTCAGCTCAAAATACCTCTTCTTAAAGGTAAAGATTAAACTTATTCTGGAGCCTATTATATTTTAGAATGACTTATCCTATGTAATAAAGAGCTAATATGCTAATGGTCATGACGCCCTCACACCGTAACGACTGATTAGCAGGAGGCTGCGCGCACAGCAGGCGTGTGCGGGTGGGCAGGGACTTGACTCTGGAGGACTTGACTGAAGGCGCAGGTGGGTTTCTGGGTCCTGCCGGGGCAGTGGGTGGGTTTCTGGGTCCTGCCTCCTGTGGCAGCAGCAGTAGTCGCGGGACTCTTTCTGGGTCCCACCTCCCGGGGCGGTGGTGGGGACGGCAGCAGTGGGACACTTTCTGTGGGATGGCGGGGCTGCATGTGTGGGAAGCCACGTGTTGGGAGAGATTCCGGGATTTGCGTGATTTCATGTGCCTGGTCACTAGTGTGATATAATAATCAAAACTTCATCTCTGAAGAACAGTGTATCATTAAGTTTCATTATGACCAAATGTAATTTGCATGGGTTTTAACTGCAGCTAAAGCTGGTGCTCTAAATTCAAATTTGGACCCACCCTTCTCATCCCCCCAAGTTAAAGTTTAGATATAGTAACCCCAGACCTACTAAATCAGAAACCAAGAGAATGGGGCCCAGGTGATTCTAACACACACTTAAGTTTGAGAATGGTCTTACTATAGCTCTCTGCATTCTTTCCATCTCTCTCCCAAACACCAAGCCCAGTCCCTTCAATCTTCTTATGTTAGTCACTAGAGGCCGAGTACACGAATTTGTGCACCAGTGGGGTCCCTCGCCTGGCCTGCGGGATCGGGCCAAAACCGGCTCTCTGACATCCCCCAAGGGGTTCCAGATTGTGAGAGGGCGCAGGCCAGGCTGAGGGACCCCACTGGTGCAAGATCGGGGCCAGGAAGAGAGATGGGAGGTTGGCCAGCCGGGGAGGGAGAGGCCCAGTGCACGAAATTTGTGCACTCGGGGGAAGGGAGGGGCGTTCCCTCAGCCCAGATTGCGAGAGGGCGCAGGCCAGGCCAAGAGACCCCACCAGTGCATGATCGGGGCCAGAGAGGGACATGGGAGGTTGGCCATCCAGGGAGGGACCTTGGGAGGGCTCCAGGGTATGTCTGGCCCATCTTGCTCAGTCCCAATTGGCTGAACCCCAGCAGCAAGCTAACCCACTGGTCAGAGCGTCTGCCCCCTGGTGATCAGTGCACATCATAGCGACTGGTTGACCAGTCAACTGTCTGCCTTCTGGTGGTGAATGCATGTCATAGCGAGCAGTTGAGCGGCCTTAGCATATCATTATCATATTACGCTTTGATTGGTTGAACGGACAACCGGAAACTTAGCATATTAGGCTTTTTTTATATAGGACAGGATAATTGTCAATAACCACAAGGCCACTTCTATGAAATGTGGGATCTTTTTCTTTTTTGAAAGGATAATGGTTTAATTAAGATTTAAGATTCACATTATGATAAATGATAATTTTAATACACCCTTTAAATTTACCAACATCTTTTAAACCCTATTCAAAAAGAATGCCATCTCAATCCCAAGGCACAGTGTTGACCTCCCAAATTAAGCAAGCACTGACAAAGTCCAGAAGGACATCCACAGGGAACTTCTGGTGTTGGGGGTTTTATTTTCTTCTTTGCACTTTTTCTGAACTTCCCAAATTTTCTATAGCTTACAAAATAAAAACAGACACTTTTTAAAAGTAGACTGAGATTTTTTTTAAAAAAAGCAGATATCTTGTGTCACTTGGAGGCCCTGAATACAGCTCTTCCAAGGCCCAAAAGAATTACCTTGAGGATGTTTTGACACTCAACGAAGTCACTGTGAAGGTGGCTGGTTGCATAGAGCTTAAGGAGCAGCTGAGGAATTCCACTCCATTTGGACGGTTTGTCCCTCTCCGTCAAAAATGTCTCAGTGAACTGTGATTTAAAAAAAAAAATACACATTTTACTGGTGAGGAAAGAACTGCAGTTGACCTTGAACAACATAGGTTTGGACTGTGTGGGTCCACCTATATGTGAATTTTTTCAGTAAATACACAGTCGGCCCTCTGTATACCCAGGTTTTGCACCCCCAGATTCAACTATCCTAGGATTGAAAATAGTATCATATTTTCAAACTGTAGCTGGGAGTCCACAGATGTGGAGGGGCAACTATATGCATTGTTCTCTGACAATTTATAAAAGGGACTTGAGTATCTGCTTGTTATTTCAGGGATCCTGGAACCAATCCCCATTAGATACTAAGGGACAACTGTATTAGCACATAGGGCAAAGAAGAGCAACTGCCTCCCCAACCCCCACCCTCCCTCCCGGACAAATAATTCAAAGACCTCTTTCTAGAAACCTTCATAAGCTCCCCAGTAGCCTATAAGTTAAAAGTTAACTCTTGCCTGGTGATACAACACCCTTCATATTCTATCACCTACTTTCCTTTCTAGCCTCATCTCTTTCCCAATGCACACTCTGGAGTCCAAATACACACGTTCTTTCTCTGCCCCTCTGCACAGGTTCCTCCCCTAAAATGTCCTCTCCCTGTCTTTTCTTTCTTTTTTTTTAAAAATATATTTTATTGAGTTTTTACAGAGAGGAAGGGAGCGATATAGAGAGCTAGAAACATCGATGGGAGAGAAGCATCGATCAGCTGCCTCCTGCACATCTCCCACTGGGGATGTGCCCGCAACCCAGGTACATGCCCTTGACCGGAATCGAACCCGGGACCTTACAGTCCACAGGCCGACGCTCTATCCACTGAGCCAAACCGGTTTCGGCTCCCTGCCTTTTCTTACCTGCATGCTTCTTCTCCATCTTCAAAATGCAAACCCAACAGCCAGAAAATGTCTTTGACTGGCCTCTGCCTCTCTTTTCTAAAAGAGTAGGTGCCCTTCTGCTGGGCCCGTAGCTAACATTTATCTACTGTATCATAATTAATAGCTCATGTGTTCACCTCCTCCTATGACCTACAAACTCCTTTAGAGTAGGTACCAAGCTGTTGTTTGTCATGCATACCTTCTCTCAAAGAATGCCAGGTACTAGCTTAATGATAGGTACATTAATCAATTATGGCAATTTCCACTAACACTAGTGAGACAAACCACTATCAGGGGCCGGATGTGAATTATTTTCATGTGCACCTGTCCCTCAATCTGGTAAAAGCTCCTGGTAACTGTTATTACTAGTATAGGACATGCAAGTCTTCAATAATGTCTTAGTGTATCCTGATACATGTTGGTCCTAATACCTAGACAAGCGCCATTATCCTTCTGGAGCATATTTTAATTATAAAAATAAGATAATACTGGGATAATGGGAGGTAATGTTTGTGAGAGTAATGTATTAGGATAAAAATAAACCATAGGAAATTACCATTTCTGTAGGTAAAAAATGATCAAATATTAGGAATTTCATCATTCTAAAGCTGAAATCAATGCAAATCCAAAAACAATGGAAAAACACTTTTCCTTTCCTTGAAAGGAAAACAAAAAACATACACCATGATTTTATGGAACTTAGCAAAAGTAGTGTTTACTAATTTACAGCTGTAAACATTTATATTTTTAAAAGAGGTGATCTCAAATCACTTATTCAAACTTCTACCAAAAGAAACTAGAAAATAAGGATTGAACCAAACACAGACCAAGCACAAGGAGATAAAAAAATATTATTGTAAATTTAATGACAGAGAACAGAAAAATAATAGAGAAAAATCAACAAAATCAAAAGCTGGTTCTTTGAAAAAGAGTGAAAACTTTACTTCCACTGACCAACTTACACGAACTCAAATTACTAAATTCAGGAATGAAAGAGGAAACATTACTAGCAACCTTACCAAAATAAAGTTTATAAATGAATACTAGGAACAACAGTATGCCAACAAATTAGAAAACTGCTGTGAAATAAACAAGTTCTTAGAAAGATGCAACCGAAAGAAACTGACTCAAGAAAAACACACGCAGATCATGTGATGGCCCTACAAGAGATCAAGTTAGCAATTTAGTAAAAAAGAAAGAAAACTATTCTCAAAGAAAAGTCAAATAGAGATGCTTCTATTAAATACAAAGGAACACCTCCCAACTCATTCTATGAGGCCAGTATTACTCTGATACCAAAAATCAGACAAAGAAGGACATCACACAAAAACTACAGACCAATATCTCTTATGAGAATAGACATAAAAATCCTCAGAAAAATACTAGTAAAGCAAACCCAGCAACATATAAAAAGAATGATACACCAAGACCAAGCAAGTATTCCAGGAATGGAAAGTTGGTTCAATGTACAATCAATGTAATCAAACTGATAAAGGTCATTTACCAAAAACCCACAGCTGTCATCATAATTAATGGTGAAAGCCTGAATGCTTTTCCACTAAGATCAGGAAAAAGACAAGGATGCTAACTCTCACCACATCTATTTAACATTGTACTAGAAATTCTAGTCAGAGCAATTAGACAAGAAAAAGAAATAAAAGCATCCAGATTGCAAAGGAAAAGCAAAACTATATTTTCAGATGACATGATCTTATATATAAAATACAGGGTGGGGCAAAAGTAGGTTTAGAGTTGTTCATATGGAAAATACAGTAATTAAATAAAAATACCAGAATATACTCTGTGTTACGTGTACTCACAGCTGTAAATCTACTTTCATCCCATCCTGCATATTAAGGAACACACACAAACTATTAAAGCTAATAAGTTAATCAAGATTGTAGGATACAAAATCAATATACAAAAACCAGATGAATTTCTATACACTTCCAATGAACAACCCAAAACCAAAATTAAGAAAATAATTCCATTTATAATATCATCAAAAAACCCCAAAATGCTCAGGAGTAATTTTAACAAAAGGAATACAAAACTTGTACAATGAAATTAAAACATCAGAAATTTAAAAATACCTAAATAAATGCAAAGACATTAATGTTCACGGATTGGAAGATTAAATATTGCTAACATGCAAATACTTCCCATATTGATTCAATGTAGTTCCTATCAAAATCCAAGTTGACTCCACAGCAGAAATTGACAAACTAATTCTAAAATTCATATGGAAATGTAAGGGATTCAGGATAGGCAAAATAATCTTGAAAAAGAAGAATGCAGTTGGAAAACAAATTATACTTCCCGATTTCTAAATTATTACAAGTCTATAATAAGTCTGTGACTGGCCCCATGGTAGACATTTAGATCAACGTAATAGGACTGAGACTGCAAAAATAAACACTTAACATTTATGGCCACCTGATTTATGGCCACTTGACAATAATATCAAGACAATTCTTCACATGATATTAAAAAATGAACTCAAAATCAAGGATCTAAATATAAGGGCTAAAACTGCAAGAAGAGAACATAAGTATACATTTCATGACCTGAGATTAAGCAATGGTTTCATGGATATGACACCTAAAACATATGCAGCCAAAGGAAAAATAAAATAAACTGAACTTCTTTAATATTAAAAAAGCTTGTGCTTTAAAGGACATGACCAAGAAAGTGAAAAGACAATCCACAGAATGGGAGAAAACATTTGTAAATCATATAAGGGCCTGATAGGGGTCTAATATCCAGACAGTATAAAGAACTCTTACAACTTAATAATAAAGACAAATAACCAAATTACAAAATAAACAATAGGCTAAAAATTAAAAAACAATAATACTATGAGAAATAAAGAATTCCTTTGACAGGCTCATCAGTAGACTGGACATGGCCAAGGAAAGACTATCTTCAAGATAAAAACTTCCCAAACTGAAATACAGAGAGGAAAAAAAATAATGGAAAACAAAAAACAGAACATAATATCTAAGAATTGTGAGACAATTATACAGAGTGTAATATACGTATAATTGGAATACCAGAAAAAAATATTTAAAATAAAGATGACTGAGCTTTATTGTGTTTTGTGTGAGATCCATCACAGAATAAAATCTTTTGACCTCCAAAAGCAAGTACACAGCTTTATCTCTCCAGATCCTCCAGGTCAAAACTGTGTGCTATCTTGGGGTTGTCTTTCTGGATATGAAGGTTTATCATAGATTTGCTGTGATGATCTCTCACATAAAATCTTTTGTAAGTCAAGGAGCCATGGTAATTGCTGCTACCAATCAAAAGTATTCTGGCAATCAGGCTCCACTTTACATGGAAATAATGACAAATTCTACATGTAAAAAATTGTTTTCTTGTCATTATTGATGTAAATAATCAACAAAAATATGACAAAAGATAAAATTAGATGGAGTCACTGGTAATTTAATTATCTTTTCTTCAGACAATAGATCTTATAATAGAAGAAAAACTTCACTTGTTAGTGATATAACTGCACAACACTGAATTGTTCTCTTCAGATATAATTATTAGAAAAACCAAGATGACTCTAAATGACTTCTAGTCCATCAGTAGTGAGAAAACAGTGGAAAAACATGCATTCCTTCTCCAAGAATATCAATGCATCCAGAACAATGCCCAGAATCATAACTAATTAACTTGGACATGCCATTTCTGGAGTATATAAATGAAATACTATATGTACTCCTCTGAACTAAAGCTGCATCTTAATAGAACATAATATATAATAATAAAAGCGTAATATGGTAATTAGACCGGACATCCTTCCGGACAATCTTCCGGACGAAGCTGGGACACCCCCACCCCCAGTGCACAAAGTTTCATGCACTGAGCCTCTAGTCTATATATATAAAAGCCTAAGCAACTGAATGACAGGTCGACCGGTTGCTATGACCACCAGGGGGAAGACACTCAACGCATGAGCTGCCCCCTGGTGGTCAGTGTGCTCCCACAGCCAACCTCCTGCGGCCAGCCAACCTCTTGTGGCCAGCCAACCTCCCGCGGTCCCTCCCCAGCCGGCCAGCCCCCTCAATCGGACCAATCACTGGCCAGGCCACGGGACA